TTTTTTTAATCTATATTTTTTTTTCTTTTTTAACAACAAAAACATATGTAGGGGCCAGGGAAAAAAAAAGCACAGCTAGTTCTGATGTTGTGCTTTTTGTGCTCTGCAGCTCCGAGCTGGAGGGGCTGTGACTCATTAAGCGAGACCAGCGCCGTGTTTCTCTTCCTTTCACGTCTTGCTGGGCTTGGATTTCCGTGGCAAATTTACACACTTAAAGCAGGGGAGGGATGGTGGGGGGCAGCTTTTCCTGCTCCTGAGGTGGGATATTCCTGAGCCATTTGGTGCTTCCCACTGGGAGTATCTTCTAGGAGTTGGGGCTGAGGGAAGGGAAAAAGAAACAAAACCATCAGCCACTTAGTGCCTTGGGCGAAGAGCTGAGGGGTTTGGAGAGCTCCTGGTCAAAGGGCATGACCTTGGGAGGCTTTTCCAGCCTGTGGTTCTGTGGTCCACGGAGAGGTTTCATCCCCACGAGTCACCTTGTAAGTTGGGGGTCAGTCCCTCAGCTGGAGCAGAGATTTGAACCCTCTGGTGTAGCTGGAATTGGGTGGCTTGCAGGGAAAATTCTGGGAATAAGAGGGGAGTTGAGTTTTCGAGGGAGAGCTTTAACATCAGAGAAATGTGTGTGCTGGCACCCTCGGGGTGATCTGGGTTTCTCCTCCTCTCTCCAGGCACTGTTTCAGTCTAACATTCCTCCCTGGGAGGGTTCAGGAGATGGCAAATCCTGCTTGGCCAGTGCAGAATAAAACTTTGGCGTGTCAATAAATCCGAGGTGGCCACATCACGGACCCCAGTGAGGATTTAATTCAAATATTGGTGCTACTGAACTAAAAAAAATGGAGAGATAAAAGACCAATCAATCAAGATGAATCAGAAGTCACGGGTTCCACTTAGGAGTTTTTAGCCTTTCTGAAGGAAGTGACAATGAAACTAAGTTGGTGTTTGGGTAGAAGAGGACCAGTGTTCTCTCTTGCACACTTCTTTGCACACCAGCATTGCCTACAGCCACAGGCAAATATCCTGGAATGTTTTCATGGGAGAGGTGTCACTCAGGACCTGGATACCTGTAACTCAGTGAAACTTTGCAGACCATCATTTCCATGTCCCCCCTGTGCAGTGAGGAGCTCTTGGTGGTTTGTTTTTCCTTTGGGGGTTTCTTTGAAAGCCTCTCTCTGCCTTTTCTCTGCAGATCCTGCCTCTGCCCTTTCTCCAGGGCTTTTCCTGGTGCAGCAAAGCAGAGCAGAGTGGAGGAGGTTTGGCATTCCCCGGGATTCACAGTTGGGTTTGTGCTGTCTGTAGATGGTTTCTCAGCCACCACAGCAGCGGTGTGGGGTTGTGTCAGTTAAAACCAGTTCCAATCATCTTTTCCCTCCTCCTTTTCTCTTTCAGCTCCAGCTGCAGAAAACCCAGTACTTGCAACTGGGGCAGAGTCGTGGCCAGTACTACGGTGGGTCTC